CAATAAACGATTTTTATACCTTGAAATCGTGAAATGGTTAACAAACATTACATTAAATTGAATCACTTTCTATGTATTTAATTTTGAAATTCACTCACTTTGCTCACACCTAGTTGTAACACATAAAACACTTATAAATTGGTTGCCCATGCTAATTAAACAGTTGGATTATTTAAAGTTAATAACCCCTCATCGCCTTTTATCATAAACACTCCACTCCCTCTCCTCCACTTCACTCCCTTCCAAAACCCTTCCCACTCAACCCCTCCTCGCCTCTCCTCCACTTCACTCCCTTCCAAAACCCTTCCCACTCAACCCCTTTCTCGCCTTTTCTCCACTCCATCCCCCTCCTCCACATACTGCAAGTCCCTTTGCTCCAGTTGTAGCTCAGTGGTTTCCAAAGTGGTATTTTATGTACCTCCAAGTGGAATTTTCCATTTGTACAGACCTTTTATTAAGTGCCTGTGGCTCTGGGATCAGGCATACTACCTGGTTGTCAGCGTACCTGGTTGCCACAGGGTTTCAATGGTGCACACAGATCTTGGAGCCTCAGCAGCTTCTAGAGTTGCTTCTTTTAACTCAAAGCAGGGACAGTCCATGACCCCCTCATCTCTTTGGCAGAGACAGGTTATGTCTCTGTACTTGATGTGACCTGGCTACACACTTATCACTTGATGCATGTTCATTGTGCCTGTTTATACTGGCTTGCTAGCCCGTCGTTGAATAAGTGCAGCCGGTTAACTTCTGGGTACCTCTCCTTTAACCATCTCCAGAACTGGATCAAGGTGTGCCCAGATTGCTGGCGGGTCATGCCTTCTTGATGTGAAGGTGGAGCAGAAGGCAACGGGTGAAAGCTGTGCTCCTGCATATAACACTCCAGTGTGGAGGGTCGCCTGCTGATGCGATCCTCCAAAATGAACCGACTGGACTTCCATGGAGTATTTGCAGGAGTAATTCTCGCTGAAGTCCACATGGTCAAACACTCATTGTGCTTGAGACTCTCCCTCAGCTCTCTGTACGCTGCATACTGCCATCTGATGTTGAAAAGGTGGTGCCTGAACCTGAAGAGCCTGTCCTGGAACTGACTGACAAGTTTGTCCTCAGTCGTCGTCACCTCCTTCTTCACTGTAACATTGGTCCTGTGTTCTTCATCTTTGGAGCTCTCAACTGACCATTGGGTCAGGGAAATTTCTTTGTTTGATGGGGGTTTCACAAGGGTGTGAGTGGACGATAAAAGCCCACGGCTATAAAGGTTGTTAGCCATGAATTGGAGATTCTCGTGGGTTTTACATTGGCACGTCTCACGGTCAGCTTCGGTGGGTGCCACAACCCAAAATGGCCTAAAGGTGCAGAAGAAAGAGTAGGAGATCGAGTCTTGACTTTCTGATAGGAACTTCCTGTATAGATTCTTCATTGTGTCTGTCAGCAACCTTTTTTGCATCTTCTTTTTATTTTGCGTGACAGTTTATTTCCTCCCTGTAGTCATGCAACTCACATCATCCCTCAAAAATAAGGATTTCTTCTCGGATTCAGCAGTTCCTTTTTCCTTTTCTGTTTTTCCAAGGTGGCTTGAAGTTTCTTGATCTCTTTCATGATCCTTTTCTTTGAATTGTTGGTCTTTCTTTGACCTTGACATCTTTGCCTAAAACACAGTAAGCACTATTAGTATTGTAATCAGTAAACTAATTAATAAATAAATCGACCAATCAGTTAATCAATCAATCACTCAATGAATCAATCAATAAACCAATCAATCAAACAAAAAACATTAGTAATAGCATGGGTATGTTTAGTAATATAGAATAGAGCACAAATATTGTGAACTGTTGTGAACACAACTCAAATAGATCCTGACTAATAAATCATCCAACTGCCCAGCTCAAGCTTGCTCTAACCTTGAAGGTCCTGGCATTGGGTCATGTTCAGGAATGGGGGAGGGGTAAAAGATGCCCTGGTTGTTGCTCTGGTCTTTTCTTCTCTCTTCGTCTCGTTCCATTTTTTCCTTAACGCACTTCTCTCTCTCACTGATGTCTGCTATATCCTCTTCTTTTTCCCTGTCTCTCTGTCTCTCTGCCATCTCTGTCTCTCTTTCTCAAGGTACTTTTGTCTGGGTCTGCATCACGGCGTGCTCGGTAATGATATACAGTACCAGTCAAAAGTTTGGACACACCTACTCGTTCCAGGGTTTTTCTTTATTTTTACTATTTTCTACATTGTAGAATTTCAAAAACTGAAATAACACATATGAATCATATAGTAACAGTGTTAAACAAATCAAAATATATTTTATATTTGAGATTCTTCAAAGTAGCCACCCTTTGCCTTTATGACAGCTTTGCATACTCTTCAATTAACTGGTGTGCCTTGTTAAAATTTAATTTGTGGAATTTCTTTCCTTCTTAATGTGTTTGAGCCAATCAGTTGTGTTGTGAAAAGGTAGGGGGTGGTATACAGAAGATAGCCCTATTTCGTAAAAGACCAAGTCCATATTATGGCAAGAACAGCTCAAATAAGCAAAGAGAAACGACAGTCCATCATTACTTTAAGACATGAAGGTCAGTCAATGCGGATCATTTCAAGAACTTTGAAAGTTTCTTCAAGTGCAGTTGCAAAAACAATCAAGCGCTATGATGAAACTGGCTGTCATGAGGACCGCCACAGGAATAGAAGACCCAGAGTTACCTCTGCTGCAGAGGATGGGTTCATTAGAGTTAACAGCCTCAGAATTTGCAGCCCAAATAAATGCTTCACAGAGTTCAAGTAACATCAACTGTTCAGAGGAGACTGTGTGAATCAGGCCTTCATGGTCGAATTGCTTCAAAGAAACCACTACTAAAGGACACCAATAAGAAGAAGAGACTTGCATGGGCCAAGAAACACGAGCAATGGACATTAGACCGGTGGAAATGTGTCCTTTGGTCTGATGAGTCAAAATTTGAGATTTTTGGTTCCAACCGCTGTGTCTTTGTGAGACACAGAGTAGGTGAACGGATGATCTCCACATGTGTGGTTCCCACCGTGAAGCATGGAGGAGGAGTTGTGATGGTGTGGGGGTGCTTTGCTGGTGGGAATCACACATGTGGAGATCATCCGTTCACCTACTCTGTGTCTCACAATTCAAGGCACACTTAACCAGCATTTCTACCACAGAATTCTGCAGCGATAGGCCATCCCATCTGGTTTGCGCTTAGTGGGACTATCATTTGTTTTTCAACAGGACAATGACCCAACACACCTCCAGGCTGTGTAACGGCTATTTTACCAAGAAGGAGAGTGATGGAGTGCTGCATCAGATGACCTGGCCTCCACAATCCCCCGACCTCAACTCAATTGACATGGTTTGAGATTAGTTGGACCGCAGAGTGAAGGAAAAGCAGCCAACGAGTGCTCAGCATATGTGGGAACTCCTTCAAGACTGTTGGAAAAGCATTCAAGGTGAAGCTGGTTGAGAGAATGCAAAGAGTTTGCAAAGTTCTCATCAAGGCAAAGGGTGGCTACTTTGAAGAATCTAAATATATTTGATTTGTTAACACTTGTTTTTGGTTAATACATGATTCCATATGTGCTATTTCATAGTTTTGATGTCTTCACCATTATTCTACAATGTAGAAAATAGTTACAATAAAGAAAACCCTTGAATGAGTAGGGTGGTGGTCCGAACTTTTGACTGGTACTAGTATATATAATATATATATATATAGATATATAGGATAATATATAAGATATATAATATATAAAGATATAGAGATATAAGAGACAAAGAGAGAAGAGAGGATAGACACAGGAAGAGAGAAGTAAAGAAGAGAGAAATCTCCTACAAATATATAATATAGATATATATACAAATTATAAATATATAATTATCTATATATATATATAGATATATATATATATATATATATATATACAAATATACATACAATATAAATGTATTATGTAAATGGTCATATATATTGACATAAGTAATTCATTTTCAATATTTTCTGACAAAATGTCCACCCTATTAGGTGCATGTTCCAACCTGTTGCATATGCCTAACAGGAACCTAACAGGGTGGAAATTTGGAGGCTAAGTTAGCCATAGTGATCAAGATCCTGCTAGCATGATCAAGATCCTGTGAGTGATCAAGATCCAGCTAGCATAATGGTGAACACTTGAAGAGAAATTTAACTTTTCTTCCAAACATATTTTTAAATTATAAAATGTGATAACATGTTCCTCTAATATAGGCTAACATGGTGGACATTTAAGCTTGAGACATACTGACTAACATCATGAAACATTAAATATATAAATAAAACTGAGTGTGTTGATACTCAATTTGCTTTGCACTGTTGTTTTCCCGCCAAAATAATGATTGACGCTTCCTGAACATGATGTCATTGTGGGAAGGGGCTGTTTTTTAAACTAACAGGGTGGAAAGTGAAATCAGAGACACAGAGAATCATGAGAAAAAAAAGTATTGATGACAGATATTTGAAGTAGGACTATAAAAGAATGAATACATATTTTTAATATTTTATTATTTAATGGCTTATATTTCTCGTATAAGTTGATGAATAACACCCGGGGACATGGCAAAAACGCCTACATCCACTGAAAACCAAATGGTCAAAATGAATAAAATGCCCTTTAAGATCCATATCTTTGTGTTTTTATGGTAAAGACACCTAACTTTATATTTTAAGCCTTTTGGAATCCACATTTTACACTATAAGAGGTGTTATTTCCTGGGGACAGACTAGGCACTGCATAACAGGAATGACCCAATTCACATGCGCCAGTGGTGGGTAACACTAGTGTCTGAAAACAAGAGGGAGAAGGCAGAATGCCGCTTCGAGTTTGAGATCTATGTTTGGCCTAGGAGGACAAAAAACTGTTGACTTGTAGCATTTCTCCTTCTTTGTCTCGGAGTAAACAAACAGTGTGCATGTTGTGAACAATCTGCATTAATATATTAGATAAAAAAAAGATATCATGCTACCCTTCCAGGTACTAAGTGGGGCATTGGTGGCACGTGCGTGAACGTGGGCTGCATTCCCAAAAGCTCATGCACCAGGCTGCTCTGCTGGGCACAGCTGTGAAAGACGCCCAGAAGTATGGCTGGCAAATCTCATTATTATGAGAACAATGGAAACCTGTGGATACTAACATTTCTCGAACTATTTTGGAAAGCAGCTTAGGTGTAGCCTAGTTGGAGGCCTGCATGGTTTTTGAATTCCCATCATTAGATTAGATAAGAACATATATTTTCCAGCTACAGGACAAGTGAGTGACACCCCATTACCTACAGCCACTGTGGCTGCGTTTACACAGGCAACCCAATTCTGAGATGTTCACATTGTGCAACTGAATCTCATATTTAATAGACCCAGTTTCATAGAAAATGGCTTTAGCGATCCGGGGCTTAACCTCTTTCCTCCAAACTTTGTCTTCACTCTCATATACAATCGGTTTGGCTAGAAAACTGCTTTAACAGTGTAGCTGTGCAGTACTTAACCTATCTCAGCTAAACCCGGTGTTCGCACAAGATCTCACATGAGTTCTCCTGTGGTGTTTGCATTGTGTCACCATGTTGTTTTTCTTTGACAGGAAGGTGAGGTATCTGAACATTAAAGGAAGTCTGGTGGATGAGCACACAGTCAAAGGGTTAACCAGGACAGGAAAATAGGTAATACTATTTCAAACTGGGAGTTAATGACAAAAAATGTAAATGTTCACCATATTAATTTTTTATTTAAGGAACATAATTTCAACGGTGCCATATTCATATTTTCCTATTGAAGTCATTATCATTTCTCTCCCCCTTGTCTGGCAGATGATACTGACTGCCAAGGACATTGTGATTGCAACTGGGGGGCGGCCAAAGTACCCCACACATGTAAGTATTAACCTTTCCTTCTCTTCGTCCTCGCTCTCCCTCTCCCCCCTCACCTCCATCTCTCCTCTTTCTCTCGGTTCTCTCCCTACCCCACTTCTCCCTCTGTATGGTGTCCTTGCCCAGTAGACAGACAGACCAGGGGGAGAGGTGTCTCCTTCATTGATCCTCCAATCTGCTGATAACACCACAGTGGATCTGGAGCTTTTGATGGCATGGTGGTGGGGGAAACATGGCTCTCTCTGGGTGGAGGAGGGTGGCAGTGTCTGGGGCTGCATCCCAAATGGCACCCTACCTATTCCCTATTCACTACCTAGGGAATAGGGTATAATTTGGGATACACCCTGGGTCTGCGGCCTCTCATAGGCCTCCCTCCCTGTGGTGTATCACAGGCTGTGGCTTACTGTCTGTTGATAACAGACTAACAAAGAACAAAGCCAACCTTCCTTACCTGATTGTTTGCCAGATGGTTTTCCAGGAGCTGTATTGAGAATATGATTCAAACGGTGTTTGTTGTGTTTACCTGTTTCTACTTCCTGTGTTGTAGATCCCTGGAGCAATCGAGCACGGCATCACTAGTGATGATATCTTCTGGCTGAAAGAGTCCCCTGGCAAGATGTGAGTGGTACATGTGGTGAAACACACACACACACACACACACACACACACACACACACACACACACACAAACCATACAATACTGTACATCAGCATTTAGCTGTGCCATGTACACAGACAGCTCTATCATAATGATCCATCCAGGACACAGTGTGTTCTACTATGGTACCTGTTAAATGTTCCTGTCACTCTCTACTCCTGACTCAGATTAGCAGTGTGTGTGTGTCCCGACCTTTGCTGAACACATCTCCAATCCAGCCATTTAAATCCTGTCATCGCCTGTCTAATTGGTCTCTCCGCACCGTTTCCTCTTGGCACAAAATGGAGGTTGAGTGTAATGTTTGTTAGTGTGGCTGTAATGTAACTGCCAACAGTGAAGAGTTATCTTAGTCGCCTACTCATTGATAATCCTTGCTATTATAAACATTACAATAGATTTCCGTCGTAATTTTTCTATCGCAACAACCTATTTGTTACCCCTCTCTGCTTTAGTCAGGGATATGGTATTTTTTCCGTCAAACTAGGCTGCTGTTCATACATTTTACCACTAGAGGGCAATAGGAACTCATCTACAGAACAAGCCCATCTGGGACAGACCATGGTCTGTGTGTAATATGTTTTCCCTGCACTGTCCTTCCCTCTTTCAGCATGTCTCCTAAGCAGGCTGTTCAGTTTAGTGGAGTGGTTAGGCAGGGGCCTACTGTTAGTTTGGTCCTCTGCTTGCCTGCCCCTCAGGCTACTAGGGGTTAGCATTAGCAGGTCCTCCCTTGACTCTCCTCTCCTCAGACCTATCTCTCCCTGCCTAGGAGGAGCTGTTGTTGACGTGCTGTTGTGCTGCTCTGCTCTGTGGAGGGAGCTGTGCTGTCAGCTGTGCAGGTGGGGTCTGAGAGGGTGTTTGGGTTGATCGGCTGGCGGAGGTAGTGGATGGCTCCAGGTGAGTGATGAGTGCCTTTAGAGGGACCGGAGCACACTCACAAACACGATAGATGGGAAGTGTAGACATGAGTGTAAGAATATGTTTTATGCTGACTTTTATTACAGAAGGTAATGCACTGCATTTCCTTTTTAAATTGTTTTTATTATATATTTACTTAGGATTTATTTAAATTAATTTCCAGTGCCAAAGGGCAGTGAACCAGGCTTTAAATGTGCTATCGTTTTTCATCCTCTACAGAACAGCTGAGAAAATGAATCTGGGATGACAAGATGCAAGATCAAAAGGAGACAGTGTAACACACTATATTTTCTCTGTCTATAGTCACAACACTGTGTTAGGGAGTTGAGTTCACATCCTATATCTTTGTATTTGGATTCAGATCAAGTCTGCTGCCTGTAGAGCTCTCCCCTCTAAGGAACACTTGTGAAAGAGTACCGTTATTGTGGCAAACACAGGAGACACCGAAGGAGAACACAGATTCACTTATCTCTTGTCTGGACTGCTGAAGGTTGGCCCAAGGCTATGAGAGAGAGAGAGCCAGTGGCAAATTCTTAACTGTCACAGTCAGGCATACTCCTACTGGCTTTGGATCAGGATGTAGCCTATGGAAGCCCTGAAAGTTTGATTGTGTTATCTTTGTTGTTTGAAAGGCTGCTCCTAGTACTTCTTATCCTCCAGGGGAGTGGGCAACGTTTACTGGGCAGATATCAGTACAGTAAAGTATGTCTTTTCCACTGGAATTCATCCCTCTTTAGTTTCTAGTTACACAATCAGCCCCCCCCCCCCCCCCCCACCCCCCTCCCCCATTCACATCTGGATGCAGTGTTTTTGAGACCCACTTGTGAGGTTGAACACCACCTCCACCAATGCTTTCAGACACCATCACCCGGATGAGGGAGAACAGAGCGATCCCAGAGTCACTCTGAAATACAATATAACCAAGCAGAGAGAGACCCAGCCAGGGAAAGGAGATGTTTCAGTGATGAGTGTGGAATCAGCCTAAAGCTCCTAGCCTAATCCCTCCCTAAGCCACCTCACAATGTGCACTAAGTGCAGCTGTGCATTAGGTGGACAGGACGATCGGGGTACTGACGCTCTTAGCAGTTAGCACTAGCATGGGGGGGGGGGGGGGGGGGGGGGTCTGGCTAGGCTTGTGTGTGCCCCAGGCTCCCTCAGCTGCCAGAGGCTGGGCCAGCGTGGGGAGCCCTGGATAGGTAGAGGGTGGGAAAGCGAGAGAGGCCACGGAGCCACGGCCTACATGGGGGTGATGGGCATCACTCAGCGAAGTGATTTGTGGACTGAGCCATGAACATGGGAACACGGGAACACGGCACACCCCATCCGCAGGGATTAGCCTGAACGCTAGTAGTGAGTGGAGCGCAGGGCTGGATTAGAGGTGTGATTCACCTGGCACACACACAGACACAGAGACAGAGAGACAGGCCCTACCAACTCCGCCACCCTTTCCTGTTCTTTCTTATTCTCTCTCTCTGTCTGTCTGTCTGTCTTGACTTTTTACAGTTGAGTAATGAGGCCTCCGAAATTCGAACAGAATTTTCATCACTTTTAAATTCCTCAGATTCAGAGTAAACATTTGTGTCCAGTTTCCCTGTTTTGTTTGGCGCAGTAGTATTCAAGATAATTTGAAAGAAAACGTATGAATGTCTCGCAAGTGCATCGTATAGAAAAGCACATATACCTGTACTATATACAGTGCCTTGCAAAAGTATTCATCCCCCTTGTCGTTTTCCTATTTTGTTGCATTACAACCTGTAATTTAAATTGATTTTTATTTGGATTTCATGTAATGGACATACACAAAATAGTCCAAATTGGTGAAGTGAAATTAAATAAATTACTTGTTTAAAAAAATCTAAAAAATAAATAATGGAAAAGTGGTGCGTGCATATGTATTCACCCCCTTTGCTATGAAGCCCCTAAATAAGATCTGGTGCAACCAATTACCTTCAGAAGTCACATAATTAGTTAAATAAAGTCCACCTGTGTGCAATCTAAGTGTCACATGATCTGTCACATGATCTCAGTATATATACACCTGTTCTGAAAGGCCCCAGAGTCTGCAACACCACTAAGCAAGGGGCACCACCAAGCAAGCGGCACCATGAAGACCAAGGAGCTATCCAAACAGGTCAGGGACAAAGTTGTGGAGAAGTACAGATCAGGGTTGGGTTATAAAAAAATATCAGAAACTTTGAACATCCCACGAAGCACCATAAAATCCATTATTTAAAAAATCGAAAGAATAAGGCACCACAACAAACCTGCCAAGAGAGGGCCGCCCACCAAAACTCACGGACCAGGCAAGGAGGGCATTAATCCGAGAGGCAACAAAGAGACCAAAGATAACCCTGAAGGAGCTGCAAAGCTTGGAGTATCAGTCCATAGGACCACTTTAAACTGTATATTCCACAGAGCTGGGCTTTACGGAAGAGTGGCCAGAAAAAAGCCATTGCTTAAAGAAAAAAATAAGCAAACACGTTTGGTGTTTGCCAAAAGCCACGTGGGAGACTCCCCAAACATATGGAAGAAGGTACTCTGGTCAGATGAGACTAAAATTGAGCTTTTTGGCCATCAAGGAAAACGCTATGTCTGGCGCAAACCCAACACCTCTCATCACCCCGAGAAACCATCCCCACAGTGAAGCATGGTGGTGGCAGCATCATGCTGTGGGGATGTTTTTCATTGGCAGGTACTGGGAAACTGGTCAGAATTGAAGGAATGATGGATGGCGCTAAATACAGGGAAATTCTTGAGGGAAACCTGTTTCAGTCTTCCAGAGATTTGAGACTGGGACGGAGGTTCACCTTCCAGCAGGACAATGAATCTAAGCATACTGCTAAAGCAACACTCGAGTGGTTTAAGGGGAAACATTTAAATGTCTTGGAATGGCTTAGTCAAAGCCCAGACCTCAATCCAATTGAGAATCTGTGGTATGACTTAAAGATTGCTGTACACCAGCGGAACCCATCCAACTTGAAGGAGCTGGAGCAGTTTTGCATTGACGAATGGGCAAAATTCCCAGTGGCTAGATGTGCCAAGCTTATAGAGACATACCCCAAGAGACTTGCAGCTGTAATTGCTGCAAAAGGTGGTTCTACAAAGTATTGACTTTGCCAAGGGGGGTGAATAGTTATGTACGCTCAAGTTGTCCGTTTTTTTGTCTTATTTCTTGTTTTTTTCACAACAAAAAATATTTTGCATCTTCAAAATGGTAGGCATGTTGTGTAAATGAAATTATACAAACCCCCCCAAAATCTATTTTAATTCCAGGTTGTGAGGCAACAAAATAGGAAAAATGCCAAGGGGGGTGAATACTTTCGCAAGCCACTGTAACTTCCAAGAGATATCTTCTAAATGAAAACATGTAAGATTAATGATTTTTGTTTTTGTTTTTCAGACTTTTGGTTGGTGCCAGTTGTATCCTTTTGACTGCCGATGTGCTTGGTCATGAGTCACTGGTTACACTGTATATTGTCAGAGTGAGTTGGCCCTAATGTTGAAGTTAAACTGCTAAATTGCAGTTCAAGTGGTGACCCCTTCCTAGACTGGGGTCACCTCACAGTCTATCTCTGCCTCTTATGCTCCACTTTCTCAGTTGTCACATCTGCTTTGACTAAAGATAGACAAGGTTCCTCTATGAGAGCATTTGTGTAGTGTTGTTCTGTTTTCCTGAACATGGTGCTATGAAGATGTGGCCCTGGAGTGTGCTGGCTTCCTGACAGGCGTTGGCCTGGACACCACATTCATGGTGCGCAGCATCCTCCTCCGGAGGTTCGATCAGGTACTGCACTGATCACTATTTTTTCCAAATAGATTTGACACTATTTGAATTAATTTCTTATTTCTCTATACTGTATTGTGTTTATATGCTAACTCAAATTTATTGAAGCTTTTAAATATATTTAAGAGAAAATAGAATTTCTCACTACAAATAGATATAGATTAATTGTGTACTGGTGATATTGGGACTTTAAGTTTGGAATAATAGTTCTCCCAAGTCGAGTATTGGAAAGGTGACTCTGAGCTGTCAACAACCTGAATTTCTCCCCTCTTGTCTTGTGTGTGCTGCAGCAAATGGCAGGGCTGGTGACAGACTACATGGAAGGCTATGGCACCAAGTTCTTCTGGAGGAATGTCCCTAAGAGAGTGGACAAGCTGTCCTCTGGGGCACTGCAGGTGACCTGGACAGATAAACAGACAGGACAGGACCAACAGGACACCTTCGACTCTGTGCTGTGGGCCATAGGTGAGTGTGTCTGGGGAGGAAGAGAAATGTCCAACAAATTATTACATTACTGTTTGGAAGACATCACTACTATTTTAGTAGTAGCTGCAATCACGTGTGTTAAGTATGCCACATAACAGACAATAGGCTTTGCAAAGACGTATCCGGAGATATCAGTTAAACCACTAGTTGTTGTCCCCCTCCCTTTCCAGACATTTGTTTTATTGTCATCCACAAAAGAGTGCAGTGTCAGCAGACAGAGAGAGTATCAAGCCCAAAAACAAGGTAATAAAGTGTGAATGATGGAATCACCAGGGGAAGTGTTAATCACCCAGCCCAGTGCTGGGTCCTGGTCCTGGGCCTTGCTGAGGGAGGGCAGGATGCACCCAGGGACGGGGTCACTGCATTCCCTCCTTTGTTCTCCTGCTCTGCTCTGGGCTTTCCTGCCCATCATGCCAGCCCTGCGGAAACCAGCCTGCCTGCCCGGCCACGCCACCCCACGCCACCTCCTCCACCCTGCAGCATCTGTCACTGCACGGCCTGCCCTGTCTGTCTTTAGCTCTGCACCCACACCAGACCTCTCTCTTTCCACAGTCCTTTTCTCTCTTTATCACACCATGTAATTTCTCTCATTCCGCCAACCAACACAATGGAGGGAACTTCCGCCTGGCTGCCCGGAAGAAGTTTATTTGTGTTGAGATGGTCCCAAAGACGACGCGTTTCCGAAAGCCTGACTTTACACCCCTCAGCAGTGTGTGTGACTGTTCAGTACCAGCCAGGACAGGCCAGGGCGGGTGTCTCTCTCTCTGCCTGTGCGTGTGACGGGGAGCATGTGACATGTGACAGGGACCAGGATGTGGGTGACCTTTGGGGAGAGATGCAACGCAATGTGCTTTACAGGAAAAACTAAACAAAGAAACAATGAAAATAAAAGCTGAAATATTTACTACTACACAACAAACATAAGATAATAAAATGAAAGAATGACACAAACTGAACAAATAAAACGCACGCCAAGGAAAAACAAGCTAAAAATATTTGTTTTAAGATCTCTTTTAAATATGTACACAGTTTCAGCCCACCTCAGGTTCTCTGGCAGGCTATTCCAGAGGCTAGGGGCATAATAACTAAAAGCTGCCTCTCCATGCCTCTTGGTCCTAGGCTTTGGGATAGTTATGTCTGACATGTATTGGGGTACACAATCGTGGATTGATTTAAAAACTAATAGAAGAATCTTAAAATTAATTCTAAAACTCACAGGCAGCCAGTGCAGAGACTTTAAAACCAGTGTAATGTGTTCTCTCCGTCTGGTCTTGGTCAGTACCGGTGCTGCAGCATTCTGTATTTTTTGCACTTGACCAATGGCTTTCTTGGGTAGATCAGACAGGAGCGCATTACAGTGGTCAAGCCTGCTTGTAATACAGCATGGATGAGTCTCTCTGTATCAGCCTGAGAGAGATGGCCGCACCTTGGCAATGTTCCTCAGGTGGTAAAAAGCTATTTGGGTCACATTCCTAATGTGTGATTTGAAATTTAGTTCAGAATCTAAAATAACACCTAGGTTTTTTACCTGGTGTTTTATCTTTATTGCCCGTGATTTAAAATGTGCGGCTAGATTCTCTCTCTGTGCTTTGGCTCCAACAATAAGTATCTCGGTCTTGTCTTGATTTAGCTGGAGGAAGTTGTGAGCCATCCAAATATTTAAATCACTGATATAGTCTAATCATTTATCAGTGGAGCTAAAATTCTCTGGTGACACATGTAAAGCTGTGTATCATCTGCATAGCAGTGAAAATCAATGCTGTGCTTTCTGATAACGCTGCAAAGGGGTAACGTATATAAACTGATCAGTACTGGACCCAAAATCAAACCTTGTGGAACGCCACATGTGATATGTATTTTCTCTGAGTTATGTTCACCAAGGGTGACAAAGTCTTGACCGGTTAAATAGGTCCTAAACAAATTTAGAAGTGGATCGAAGAGGCCAACCCACCTCTCCAGTCTGTCCAGAAGGACATCATGGTCATCAGTGTCGAATGCAGCACTTAAATCTAAGGACAGAGAGCTGTTTGGCATCTGTGTTGGCTCTAAGATCATTTACCACTTTACCTAAGGCTGTCTCTGTGCTGTGGTGGGCACAAAAACTAGATTGGAATTTTTCTAAAATACAGTTGGCACTTAATTTAGCTGTTTGAATACCAATTTTTCCCAAATTTTGCTTAGGAATGGAAGGTTAGAGATTGGCTGAAAATTGCTAAGAACTGAATAATCTAGATTACTTTTCTTCAGAAGGGGTTTCACCATAGAAGTTTTTAGTGTAGTGGGTAAGGTGCCTGCGAACAGGGAGTGATTTAACAATAGCTTGCACTTCTTCAGATATGCAATTAAAAACTGTTTTGAAGAAAATGTTGGTTATCTTTGAAATATATCGCAAACTCATCACATTTACAGTGGGGGAAAAAAGTATTTAGTCAGCCACCAATTGTGCAAGTTCTCCCACTTAAAAAGATGAGAGAGGCCTGTAATTTTCATCATAGGTACACGTCAACTATGACAGACAAATTGAGAAGAAAATCACATTGTAGGATTTTTAATGAATTTATTTGCAAATTATGGTGAAAAATAAGTATTTGGTCACCTACAAACAAGCAAGATTTCTGGCTCTCACAGACCTGTAACTTCTTCTTTAAGAGGCTCCTCGTTACCTGTATTAATGGCACCTGTTTGAACTTGTTATCAGTATAAAACACACCTGTCCACAACCTCAAACACTCACACTCCAAACTCCACTATGGCCAAGACCAAAGAGCTGTCAAAGGACACCAGAAACAAAATTGTAGACCTGCACCAGGCTGGGAAGACTGAATCTGCAATAGGTAAGCAGCTTGGTTTGAAGAAATCAACTGTGGGAGCAATTATTAGGAAATGGAAGACATACAAGACCACTGATAATCTCCCTCGATTTGGGGCTCCACACAAGATCTCACCCCGTGGGGTCAAAATGATCACAAGAACGGTGAGCAAAAATCCCAGAACCACACGGGGGGACCTAGTGAATGACCTGCAGAGAGCTGGGACCAAAGTAACAAAGCCTACCATCAGTAACACACTACGCCGCCAGACGTAGTGCCAGACGTGTCCCCCTGCTTAATCCAGTACATGTCCAGGCCCGTCTGAAGTTTGCTAGAGTGCATTTGGATGATCCAGAAGAGGATTGGGAGAATGTCATATGGTCAGATGAAACCAAAATATAAATTTTTGGTAAAAACTCAACTCGTTGTGTTTTGGAGGACAAAGAATGCTGAGTTGCATCCAAAGAACACCATACCTACTGTGAAGCATGGGGGTGGAAACATCATGCTTTGGGGCTGTTTTTCTGCAAAGGGACTAGGACGACTGATCCGTGTAAAGGAAAGAATGAATGGGGCCATGTATCGTGAGATTTTGAGTGAAAACCTCCTTCCATCAGCAAGGGCATTGAAGATGAAACGTGGCTGGGTCTTTCAGCATGACAATGATCCCAAACACACCGCCCGGGCAACGAAGGAGTGGCTTCGTAAGAAGCATTTCAAGGTCCTGGAGTGGCCTAGCCAGTCTACAGATCTCAACCCCATAGAAAATCTTTGGAGGGAGTTGAAAGTCCGTGTTGCCCAGCGACAGCCCCAAAACATCACTGCTCTAGAGGAGATCTGCATGGAGGAATGGGCCAAAATACCAGCAACAGTGTGTGGAAAACCTTGTGAAGACTTACAGAAAATGTTTGACCTGTGTCATTGCCAACAAATGGTATATAACAAAGTATTGAGAAACTTTTGTTATTGACCAAATACTTATTTTCCACCATAATTTGCAAATAAATTCATAAAAAATCCTACAATGTGATTTTCTGGAGAAAAAAAATCTCATTTTGTCTGTCATAGTTGACGTGTACCTATGATGAAAATTACAGACCTCTCTCATCTTTTTAAGTGGGAGAACTTGCACAATTGGTGGCTGACTAAATACTTTTTTTCCCCACTGTAGATGTTGAGGAAAGTTCACATGTGTTTTGCAAGGTTAGGATTTATCAGGCCATCACTGGTTGAGAAGAGCACTCTCGAATTATTATGATTAATAGTGATCACGTTAGAAATAATGAGCCTGTCTGGCATTTCTAATTGCCTTGTTATATATGCCAAGTTGCTCTCTCAGAATATCATAATGGGCCTGCAACTTTGACTTTCTCCACTTCCGCTCTGCCTTTCAGTAATTTCTCTTTAATTGATTAGTTTCCTCACTCATCCAAATCTCTCTCCGTTTGGATCCCTTTTCAACTTTACTGGAACTATGGCATCAATGGTTGCCCTTAATTTGCTATTAAAGTTATCAACTAAATCATCACAAGAAGAAGGCAGAATAGGTAGTGGAGTATTGTTCATACACTCAATGAAATCTGTAGAGGTAAGATAGCATTTCTTAATAATGTGTTCAGTATTACCCTGTGCTATGGGCAAGAAGGTAGTAAAAAATACACAGTGGTGATCAGATAAAGCAACATCAACAGCAGAGGATATGTCAATAAAAAGGAGGCTGCAATAAGAGCGCCACTACAGTCTGATGACAGCCATGTTTCGGTGAGAAACATGAAAACAAATTTGCGCTCAGTAATGAGGTCATTCACGAGAAAGGTTTTACTTGTGATTGCTCTAACATTTAAAAGCGCCATATTCAATGACTGTAGGCCACTCTGCCCCTAGGGCATCTGCCTTGAGGTAACAAATGGAATAACAACCAAATTATTAACGTTACAACCACGTTTTCTGACCGTCTCCAATCTATCAGAATGGTAGGAGATGACAATTTGTATAAACTCACTAGAAGGCGGAGTTAATGGAACATAAATTAGGTTACTCACAACCATAGTGCCATTTCTACAGGAGTTGATATGCTTTCCAAGTCCGCTGTTGCTTATTCTGACAGGGAGAACTGGAGCACTACCAGACCCTGTCCGCCAGTCTGTATTATTATTATTATTATTATTATTATTATTATTGGATCTAAGAGGAATATGACTTTATTATTATTACTCTTACAGTGTAGGCTACAGTCTGTTGTGGGCTTTACCCTGGTGTTCTCATGCAGGGCAGAGAGCACATCCACATCCACTCCTGGGCCTCTCCTTTGAAGTGTGTCTGTCAGACTGTGGGAGTTATGAGTGGGCCTCTCTCGACATCCCCAATGTGCCCTTTACACTACAGGTCAGACTGGGTCTGTACCCTCCTCAGTGGAGCTATAAAATACTGTGGGTGTGTCCTGATTCTCCACCCTTTTCTTAGTGTGCACTTGCGTTCTTCCCGTCATGGATTTAACAATGGTGGAAACTCCCTCTAGCCAATGATTACACTTGCATTGATTCATGCTTTTACATCAGTGATGGAAAGTGTGCAAGTGAGGACAGACAGTGAGCTGCTCTGAGGGAGGGATGGGAGGCTGTTTGCAGTGGTGGGACTGTCTGTTCCAGTCCTGTAGCTATAGCTAGGCTACATCCTTCTCCATGCACAGCCTTCCACAGCCTATCCTTCCTCAGGGCCGCACCCCAGGCCAGGTGGCCAATAGCATAGATGAGGAAACAGCCTATTTCCTCTGGGTGTACCACGTTACTCTTCTCTCCCACTTATTTCTGTTGCCCCCAACACCGAAAGAGGTGGAAGTCTGTCTGAGGGTGTCAGGGGTTGGTATATGCCTCAATATGAACTGAAGTGCTTGGATGTGAAGCCTCTGAGTCTCCCCACACTCTGACAAACAGAAAAGTATCTCTGAGCCAAAGTGCGGAATCTCATTCAATCATATCTCTTATTATCATTTTAGGCCTTAAATAGAATGCCTTCTCAGAAACCCCTTTTTGGAAACAAAATAATATATTTCCCAAAAAGTCAGTCTTTCTGACTTCCTTCTCTTGTCTTTGTTCACTTGGTTGATCTGATAAGCCACCATGTACAGTAGTTGGTCTCATTTCAAGTCGTGCCAGAAAGCTTGTTGTGGCTAATTAGCTGGTGGGTCTTGCGATTTCCTCTGTGTGCTACAACAGTCTTTGTTCAGCGTGGTCCTATCAGGCCTGCCTGTCATTGGCTCTCATTGCCCATATGTGTGGCTCCACACTCACTGAAGGCTCTTATCAGGAGAACCTCTGTTGTTTCTGTCTCACCACACAATGGATCAGTGGCGCTCCAACAGTCTCCGATCATAGACGGAGAAACTTAGAAAGGCAGGAAAGGCCAGACTAGAGTGGCTCTAGTAGTCTAGTCTATACATAGAGAGAGCAGAGTGGACACTAGTCTAGGATAGCCCTACTGACTCCAGTCTCAGTGGTGGTTGGTAGAACTGGGCTGTGATTTGGTAGAACTGGGCTGTGATTTGATTTGGTAGGGTGGGCTGTGATTTGATTTGGTAGGGTGGGCTGTGATTTGATTTGGTAGGGTGGGCTGTGATTTGATTTGGTAGGGTGGGCTGTGATTTGGTAGGGTGGGTTGTGATTTGGTAGGGTGGGCTGTGATTTGGTAGGGTGGGCTGTGATTTGGTAGGGTGGGTTGTGATTTGGTAGGGTGGGCTGTGATTTGGTAGGGTGGGTTGTGATTTGGTAGGGTGGGCTGTGATTTGGTAGGGTGGGCTGTGATTTGGTAGGGTGGGCTGTGATTTGGTAGGGTGGGCTGTGATTTGGTAGGGTAGGCTGTGATTTGGTAGGGTGGGCTGTGATTTGGTAGGGTGGGTTGTGATTTGGTAGGGTGGGCTGTGATTTGGTAGGGTGGCTGTGATTTGGTAGGGTGGGCTGTGATTTGGTAGGGTGGGTTGTGATTTGGTAGGGTGGGCTGTGATTTGGTAGGGTGAGCTGTGATTTGGTAGGGTGGGCTGTGATTTGGTAGGGTGAGCTGTGATTTGGTAGGGTGAGCTGTGATTTGGTAGGGTGAGCTGTGAGACCAAAGTGGGGCTAGACCTCCTAAGAACAACCTTTTTGTAAATACAACTCTTGCTACAGTATCTAACTATGCACTGTGCTATCCCACTGGTATAATTTACATGTATTTAATACTTTGAGAAAGGAAGTCATGACAGGGAGAGATCCCTGTGTTAGACCTAATCTGCATAGTTGAACACTGGTGACTCTGCATGGTCCTGTTAGACTAGCCTAGTGCAGCTCTTCCAGGAAAACAGCTGCTATGAGCCTTACTGCCTGTCTCTCTACCACTCGTGCTGCAGTAATGGGCAGGTCAGGAAAAGGGTCTTGGGGGGAGGGGTTGTTATTCTTGTTGTCCGATAGCATCTATGTGGGTACCACTGGGCCCTACCAAGGTGGGGGGGGGGGGGGGGGGGGGGGGGGGGCGTTATTGTGTTACCCAGGCAGGGAGTGAGAAGGTGGGGCAGCAAGGGGGAAGAGGAGGGAGGTAGAGAGGGCCTCAACCAGGGCCCGGCCTGGTGTCAGGGGTGCTTGGTGCTCCACGTCACCATGGAGACGGGGCGGCAAGATGGGCAAGCTTCGACAGCATCAGTCAACTGTACCGCAGGAAGTGGGAGAAATGACACCCAGGGCCCCAAATGGCTGATGGGATGCCTTCCTATCCCCCGCCTGCTCATTATTCACTCCCAGCCAAAAGACAAGCCACCCTTCCTCGCTTCCCCACCCCCCCTCTCCAAGCTGTGCAGGTGTTTTCTTTTCTAATTCCTGAATATTTGCCTCTCTCTCTCTGTTGGATGAAGAGTAGCAGGACCTGCTGTAAACGTAATCCCACTAGTGTGCCAACTGAATGGTATGCGTTAACAACACTGAGCAGTCTGAGGTTTTCTAAGAAACCAAGATTCCTGTACCCTCCCCTCTCTCTCAACGTGTCATGTAATATTGAGTCTCTGACTGTGTTTTCCTATACTTGACTATAGGCAAGTATAGGAAACCAAAACTCTCAACCTGGAGAAAGTTGGCGTCAAGCTCAACAAGGAGTCTAGGAAAATAATTGTGGCTGCTGACGATCCACATCTGTGCCGAACATCTACGCTTTCGGTGATACCGGTGAGGTAGGTGCTGATCATGTCCGTCATCCTCACAGCGTACTCACCCAGCCTTAAAACACCAACATGAACCTCTTCAGGAATGTATGGAAGACTGAAATAAAACCTACAGTTGCCCAAATAAGCCTACTAAAGTGACACTGTAGTTCACTCTTCAATTACAAATGAATGCGCTAGATAGGCACCATATAATTTGTTGCTTGTCTTTTAAATTCATTTGAGATTTAGTCATAAAGCTGGATCTACACAACAGATGGCATATACAGTGCATTCGGAAAGTATTCAGACCCCTTGACTTTTTCCACATTGTGTTAGGTTACAGCCTTATTCTAAAATTGATTAAATAAAAATTGTTCCTCATCAATCAACACACAATACCCTATAATGACGAAGTGAAAACAGTTTTAAATTTTTTTGTGCAAATGTATTTAAAAAAATAAATGGAAATGCCTTATTTACATAAGTATTAAGACCCTTTGCTATGAGACTCGAAATTGAGCTCAGGTGCATCCTGTTTCCATTGATCATCCTTGAGATGTTTCTACAACTTGATTGCAGTCCACCTGTGGTCAATTCAATTGATTAGACATGATATGGAAAGGCACACACCTGTCTATATAAGGTCCCACAGTTGACAGTGCATGTCAGAGCAAAAACCATGAGGTCGAAGGAATTGTCCGTAGAGCTACGAGACAAGATTGTGCCGAGGCACAGATCTGGGGAAGGGTACCAAAACATTTCTGCAGCATTGAAGGTTCCCAAGAACACAGTGGTCTCCATCATTCTTAAATGGAAGAAATTTGAAACCACCAAGACTCTTCCTAGAGCTGGCCTCCCGGCTATATTGAGCAATCAGGGGAGAAGGGCCTTGGTCAGGGAGGTGACCAAGAACCCGATGGTCACTCTGAGAGCTCTAGAATTCCTCTGTGGAGATGGGAGAACCTTCCAAAAGGACAACCATCTCTGCAGCACTCCACCAATCAGACCTTTATTGTAGAGTGGCCAGACGGAAGCCACTCCTCAGTAAAAGGCACATGACAGCCCGCTTGGAGTTTGCCAAAAGGCACCTAAAGGACTCTCAGACCATGAGAAACAAGATTCTCTGGTCTGATGAAACCAAGATTGAACTCTTTGGCCTGAATGCCAAGCGTCACGTCTGGAGGAAACCTGGCACCATCCCTACGTTGAAGCATGGTGGTGGCAGCATCATGCTGTGGGGATGTTTTTCAGCAGCAGGGACTGGGAGACTAGTCAGGATCGAGGGAAAGATGAATGGAGCAAAGTACAGAGAGATCCTTGATGAAAACATGCTCCAGAGCGCTCAGGACCTTAGACTGGGGCGAAGGTTCACCTTCCAACAGGACAACAACCCTAAGCACACAGCCAAGACAACGCAGGAGTGGGTTCGGGACAAGTGTCTGAATGTCCTTGAGTGGCCCAGCCAGAGCCCGGACTTGAACCCGATCGAACATCTCTGGAGAGAAATAGCTGTGCAGTGACGCTCCCCATCCAACCTGACAGAGCTTGAGAGGATCTGCAGAGAAGAATGGGAGAAACTCCCCAAATACAGGTGTGCCAAACTGTAGCGTCATCCCCAAGAAGACTCAAGGCTGTAATCGCTGCCAAAGGTGCTTCAACAAAGTACTGAGTAAAGGGTCTGAATACTTATGTAAATGTGATATTTCTGTGTTTTATTTTTTATGCATTTGCAAAAATGTCAAAAAAAACTATTTTTCCTTTGTCATTATGGGGTATTGTATGTAGATTGATGAGGGGGAAAAAATATTTAATCCATTTTAGAATAAGGCTGTAACGTAACAAAATGTGGAAAAAGTCAAGGGGCCTGAATACTTTCCGAATGCACTGTAGCTGGATCTACACAACAAATGGCATAAAGCTGGATCTACACAACAGATGGCATAAAGCTGGATCTACACAACAGATGGCATAAAGCTGGATCTACACAACAGAAATCTGTGCATCTGTAACTTTCTCACTCATCATTATTCATGATTCATTCAGGATTATCCATAATCATGGTAGCATCCACGTTAATGTAGAACTGATTAGAAACATAGTCTTATTTACAATAAAAGTGACTCAACAATGACACAATACATTTGGAGCTCACTGTAGCTAGATCTACACAAGAGGTCTCCTCTCTAACTACTGTACTGTTGTATCACAATACTCTTTCTACTTGTTGTATTAAATGTCAGTCCTGTCTTTTTATTTGGCCAGCTGTGGGCTTCCTAACTAAAACAGGCCTCTCCAGACAGTTTGATTGGCACAGGCCTTTGATGAGTCACTTTTAGCTCTGATGCCTGTCATCTTTTCACATAGTGGGAGACTTTTAAAAGGGGGTGGATTGATATTTAATTCGATATGTCCAAACGGATCACCTTTTTGTGTTGAGACATTGAAGAGCACCTGGCACTGCCAAGAAACACATTGCTATGACGCAGACCGGGATGTTGTGTAAACACAGGTACTCAAATACCACCAGACACACGCACAAACACACACACACACACACACACACACACACACACCACACACACACACACACACACACACACACACACACTCACCTCCAGCGCCAGAGGAGCTGTCTTGGACAACAGGATGTGCAACAGTGGTGGTAATCAAACAGGTTGCTGATGACTTAAGTAATGCTTTCAGAGAGGATTCACCCTGCAGCTCTGCAATTTCCTGTATTGTTAGACTATTTGGGTGTTTTTCCAGATTACATTTATCTAGCGTAAATCGAGAGCCACAATCTGCAATCCAAATAGCACCCTATTCCCTATATAGTGCACTACTTTAGACCGGAGCCCTATGGGAATAAGGTGCCATTTGGGACGCATCCACAGTATATTATAATCCTCATCAGTACATTATAGTACAGTCAGAAGCAGCATGTTGTTGTGTTTAACAATCAGTTAGGTGACGTGGGGAAAATTGTTGAGAGAATACAAAAGCTGTGATTGTTTTTCAGTGTGCGAAGCAGTTTAGAAACCTTTAGTCAATGCCATTGTCATGGTTGTGTGTTCAAGCCTGAGTACTCTTTTATTCCGAATGCAATTCTGCAACTTAACAAAATGTTAGACTAATTGCACGTAGCACTATGACACTGCACGTACCCTGCCTATTTGCTTGTAAATATCCTTTGCTATTTATTTTTTACTTTTTACATGTGATATGTTTTATGACTGCTGCAAAATGAATTGACTCTGAGGACATTCAAGTTTTCTGAATCTGAGGCTGCAGGTTAGTCTACACAGTAACTCACAGGCACAACTGTCCCCTCTCTCTCTAAATAGCCAAAGGTCCTGTGTTAGGGAGGTGTACTCTGTGACTGTCTGTCTGTGTGCCGTAGCCTGCATACATTTAAGCACATACAGTATGCATGCATGTACGCTATTTGTCTGCTTCCCTCCCTCTCTCTCTCTGTCAGTCTGTCTGTCTGTGTTCTCCTGTCACTCATTAGTGTTGTTCTGTGTTTCCAGGGTTGTCCTGAGTTGACCCCCACCGCCATTAAGGCAGGGAAGCTCCTCGCTCGCAGGGCAGACCAATGAGCTCATGAACTACGACAATGTGAGCAGACATCCAACACACACACCATAGACACACACACACACACACACACCATAGACATACACATACAGTACACACCATAGACACACACATACAGTACACACACACACACACCATAGACACACACATACAGTACACACCATAGACACACACACACCATAGACACACACACATGCATTACACACCATAGACCCACACCATAGACACACACACATACAGCACACACCATAGACACACACACACCTTAGACACACACACACCATAGATATACACACACACACATACAGTACACACCATAGACACGTACACACACCTTAGACACACACACATAGAGTACACACCATAGACACACACACACACACCATAGACACAAACACACACACTATAGATACCCACACACACCATAGACACACACACGTTTGTTTTACTATCCTTGTGGGGACCAAACAATTGAACAAAAAATCCAATTTTCCTTAACCCTAAACCCAAACCCTAAACCTAAAACTAACCCATAAACCTAACCTCTAACTTTAATTCGAACCCTAATTGAAACCCTCACCCTAACCCCTAAGCCTAAAATAGCATTTTTCCTTGTGGGGACTGGCAAAATGTCCCGAATTGTCTGAATGTTCCTTGTTTTATTATCCTTGTGAGGACTTCTGGTCCCCACAAGAATAGTAAAACAAAAAACACATACACACACAATAGGCACACACACACACACACACACACACACAATTTCCCCCCATCTCTCCACAGCTTGTCTGTATGAGGCCTTTGAAACCTTTGTTTTCAGTTTCTGTTTGAGTGTGTTAAATCAGTGCCACTTCTGTGCATTGTGTTTTTAATGCCTAACAGTTGTTTTCTCTGGATTATACCGCCTGGTCTGACTCATATGGTTTTAATGGTAGACACTGCACGTCTGCACCCTTTTTCAAATGATAATTCCAAAACCAATCGTAATGACAGACATATTGCTTAAATGCCCATTGTTTGGGTTCTTAGTCTCGTCTCGTTCCTCTTTTCTGTGGTCTTTTGTAGCTTTGTTTTGTGACCACTTTATTGTAGATGTTGGAAGATACAGTAGGCGACGTGACAAGCCTGTATTATGGCTCTGCCTATCTATCCTGCTGTAACATCACTTTTCTGTTGTTGTCTGTCTGTCTGCCTGCCTGCCTGCCTGCCTGCCTGCCTGCCTGCCTGCCTGCCTGCCACCCACCCACCCCACTGGAGCACTGCTGTGTGGGGCTGTCTATCCTGATGGAACGTGATGTAACAAGGCTTTGTGTGCTCTCTGATCGATTGTGTCCGTAGGTTGCCACCACAGTGTTCACCCCTCTGGAGTATGGCTGTGTGGGCCTGTCAGAGGAGGAGACTGAGGGCAGACATGGGAAGGACTCCATCGAGGTACAGTACAGTAAACCTAATCCTAAACCACTAACATGGTAGTGTTTTTGGTTTTAAGAGGCTTTGAGAAAATGGAGGTCTGTTGAGGAAACTTTCAGTTCTTACAGGATTGTGAATGCAGGTGTGCCTCTGTTTACTACTTTATGCATGTATGTGTGTGTGCAGTGTGCCAGCTGCTAACACCTGCACCCAGAGAGCCCCGGCTCATTGTAGAGTGATGCGTAGCTCCTGTGTGTGATTGACAGGTGAGCAGAGGGCCTGATTGAGGTGTGTATCAGGTGCTGACAGGCGCTGTGTGATCTAAAGCACCGCAGCAGGAGAGGTGCACCATGGGTCCTGACAGCTGCCTGTGTGCGTGGCCTGGACGACGACTTGTGTCGGCACGCTCACTGGCTCAATATAAAACACACACCATGAAACCAGGATCTGAAATGTACCTTTTTAAAACAAGCAAAGTGTTGTGAAAGCATAGTATTGTAATATTAGGTTCTAGTGAACAATCTGAGATGTAGGGCCTACCTTTAACACTAGCAAGTATTGTAAGATACTTCTATGGACACATAAACACTGGTTTCACTTGGGCACTTCTATTTTTGACATAATTATGTTGTAACATTATTTAATCATAAGTGATGGCTTAATAACATAAATGAATGATACTATACTGTGTATTGTTGGTGGACTAATGGACATGTATCCCTCTGTTGTTCTTTGTGTCCAGGTGTACCATGCCTTCTACAAGCCTCTGGAGTTCACTGTGGCTGAGAGAGACACCAGCCAGTGTTACATTAAGGTCAGAACGGCCCTAAGAGTAGGGTTGCAAAATTGTAACGCTGGTTCTTTCCCTGCCTCAAGTGGTGTGTGAGCGGGGTGGAGACCAGAGGATTCTGGGCCTGCACTTCTCCGGTCCAAACGCTGGAGAGGTCACCCAGGCCTTCGCTATGGGCTTCCAGTAAGTCAACCACTCTGCTTGATGGAGTTAGATAGGCACTCAGAATAGACAATACAGACATGGATAGCGTTCTGTTGTGGCTAGTTTTTAAGAAACTGCTAAACTGCTTTTTAAAAACATTTTGGGTCTAATGTAAAATACTTATACTAACAGATGTTGCATCTGTAGATTAATAATTCATTTAGTAATTAATCTACACAAAATGAATGGACATTAGATGTCATGTAAATTGTGACAAGGTGGGCCTTTATCAGTACAGCAGCAGTGGGATACTAGTAAGATAAATTTAAAGATGGGAGAATGTGTGTTGCTGTAAGGACAGCTTTATGAATGAGGTGTCTGTGTTTCTCTGTGTGTCTCTCTCCAGGTGTTGGGCCACCCTCACTCACCTGATGGAGACCGTAGGGATCCACCCTACCTGTGCCGAGGAGCTAACCAAAATGAATGTCAGCAAGCGCTCAGGGCTGGACGCCACGGTTACCGGCTGCTGAGGTTAAGCACCCCCTTCTCTGAACACACCTGAGCACACGGGAAGGAACCTCTTCATAGAGACAGGGAAAAAGTGACAATGCTCTCCTAAATTCTACATAGAGTGGCTTGGGAAAGTATTCACCCCCCTTGGCATTTTTCCTATTTTGTTGCCTTACAACGTGGAATTAAAATGAGGTTTGTATCATTTGATTTACACAACATGCCTACCATTTTGAAGATGCAAAATATTTTTTTTGTGTGAAACAAACAAGAAATAAGACCAAAATAATGATTTTGAGCGTGCATAACTATTCACCCCCCCCAAAGTCAATTGTAGAGCCACCTTTTGCAGCAATTACAGCTGCAAGTCTCTTGGGGTATGTCTCTATAAGCTTGGCACATCTAGCTACTGGGATTTTTGCCCATTCTTCAAGGCAAAACTGCTCCAGCTCCTTCAAGGTGAATGGGTTCCGCTGGTGTACAGCAATCTTTAAGTCATACCACAGATTCTCAATTGGATTGAGGTCTGGGCTTTGACTAGGCCATTCCAAGACATTTAAATGTTTCCCCTTAAACCACTAAATTGTTGCTTCATGAAGCAATGTAAGTCGCTCTGGATAAGAGCGTCTGCTAAATGACTAAAATGTAAAATGTGAACCTCCGTCCCAGTCTCAAATCTTTGGAAGACTGAAACAGGTTTCCCTCAAGAATTTCCCTGTATATAGCGCCATCCATCATTCCTTCAATTCTGACCAGTTTCCCAGTCCTTGCCGATGAAAAACATCCCCACAACATGATGCTGCCACCACCATACTTCACTGTGGGGATGGTGTTCTCAGGGTGATGAGAGGTGTTGGGTTTGCGCCAGACAAAGCGTTTTCCTTGATGGCCAAAAAGCTCAATTTTAGTCTCATCTGACCAGAGTACCTTCTTCCATATGTTTGGGGAGTCTCCCACATGCCTTTTGGTGAACACCAAACGTGTTTGCTTATTTTCTTTAAGCAATGGCTTTTTTCTGGCCACTCTTCCATAAAGCCCAGCTCTGTGGAGTGTACAGCTTAAAGTGGTCATATGGACATATACTCCAATCTCTGCTGTGGAGCATTGCAGCTCCTTCAGGGTTATCTTTGGTTTCTTTGTTGCCTCTGAGATAAATGCCCTCCTTGCTTGGTCCGTGAGTTTTGGTGGGTGGCCCTCTCTTGGCAGGTTTGTTGTGTTGCAATATTTTTTCAATTTTTTAATAATGGATTTAATGGTGCTCCGTGGGATGTTCTTTTTTTATAACCCAACACTGATCTGTCCTTCTCCACAACTTTGTCCCTGACCTGTTTGGAGAGCTCCTTGGTCTTCATGGTGCTGCTTGCTTGCTGGTGCCCCTTGCTTAGTGGTATTGCAGACTCTGGGGCCTTTCAAAACAGGTGTATATATACTGAGATCATGTGACACTTAGATTGCACACAGCTGGACTTATTTAACTAATTATGTGACTTCTGAAGGTAATTGGTTGCACCAGATCTTATTTCGGGGCTTCATAGCTAAGAGGGTGAATACATATGCACGCACCACTTTTCCGTTTTTTTAAATTTTTTGAAACAAGTAATTTTTTTCATTTCACTTCACCAATTTCAACTATTTTGTGTATGTCCATTACATGAAATCCAAATAAAATCCATTTAAATTCCAGGTTGTAATGCAACAAAATAAGAAAAACGCCAAGGGGGATGAATACCTTTGCAAGGCACTGTAACGGTCCATGTAATCCCATAGCTGCTCTCTCTGTAAGCCTCAAATGGCTCTCAGTTCTACGGCGTTTCAGGGCCTGTATTCAGTTTTTCCTTTTAGGTAATATTGAATAAGATTATATGGACAGGTGGGACCTGATTCTAGGTCAGCACTCCTACTCTGAGATGCTTAAGGAATACTGAGGCCCAGTTTCTTGTGCCTGACTGTGTCTTATCATTGCAGGGTCCTCCAGGTGATGGCTGTAATGCTATATGCAGGGAAAGCCAGATTTGTGTCAGGTTTGATTTGTGGTCACATTAACCAGGCCATGGTTATCCAATTTAGCCCCATAATGTTTGTACTCTCCTCTACTCCCACTCTGAAAACCATAAGGAGTTCTAGATCCAGGTCCTTTAAATAAACAAGCCCATAAATCAGGATTAGGGCCCATTCCAGTTTGTTGCAACAGAGCTGTATAAGAGAGAGAGAGAAAGCCGAGAAACAAAAGTTTCTAAAATATATTCTGCAAATATTGTTGTTTCTTCGCCTGTACTTCCTGTCCATTAGTCTTGAAAGTGACACATGCATTGCCCGGGTGACACTGATGGATGGGCTCAGGGCCGTCGCCGCCGTGACACCACCCCGTTTCCCATGGACACACACAAACAGTCGGCGGGCCGGCTGTCAGTCAGAGAGGTGTAGTGCAGGGCCCAGCCGGGGTCCCCCTCTCACCCACAATGCACAAAGGAATACAGTGGGACTGCAATAACAGCCTCTGAGTCTGTGTGTGGGGATGCCTTGGCCAGCAGGCTCTGGCAACCCAATCCCTCCCTCTATGGGAGAGATGGAGACTGAGGGAACTGCCTGGGCCGGGCCACAGTAGTGGCATTACCCAATACTACCTAAAGGTGGTGGTATTGCCCTCTTTTCTTCAAAAAACGTGCCGGTCAAGAAATGATAGGGTAGTGAAGTCAGTGTATGAAGAATAAACCCTCATGCATTCAAGGTGCACATTTTAATCCTTTAATCCATATTTGAGATATCTGTTATTGATTAAATGTGGAGACCATTGTGATAACATTGTGTATTTACACGGTTGGCAGTTTAGCTCAGAGTCATCAACTTCTGAGATAAGTCCATTTGTTTATTTCATTTAACTGGCATTATAATGTTGTGATCTTTAAAAGTCACATACATTCTGTCGTACTATTCAAGTCTTCAAACATGTCAAGTACACCTTTTTACACCAGTCCACTCTTCACCCAATCACCCTTTCCTATAACCACTGGAAGCATAGAACTATGCAGTGCTGGATTGAGCTGGACAAGTCATGCAGTTGATTTGAGTGGAGCGGAGTAGGGAGTGGTGGAGCTGAGGGGGTCTAAGAGGAGGGAACTGGGCTGGTTTATTTATGTTTGAAGCTTAATCTTCCTGGCCTGATTAATGATCCTGACGAGGAGAGTGACAGCGCACAGCACGGGCGATGGAGGGAGAGATGGAAAGAGGGGAGAGATGGAGGGAGAGATGGAGGGGAGAGAAAGGGGAGAGATGGAGGGGAGAGATGGAGGGAGAGATGGAGGGAGAGATGGAAAGAGGGGAGAGATGGAGGGAGAGATGGAGGGGAGATGGAGGGAGAGATGGAAAGAGGGGGGAGTTGGAGGGAGAGATGGAGGGGAGAGAAAGGGGAGCAGCCAGGCCATGGGGAGAGGTGGAGGAGGGGTCGGAGACGGTGTAGAAGGAGGGGGGATTCCTGTGTGCTCTGTTCAGGGATGGGGTGCTGACTGAAGGACCCTGACCCCCGCTCAGCAGGAACAGCTTGACTCTATCACCCACAGAACAGCACAAAGCTAGCGCACATGCTCTGAGTCTTGCACTGCAGGGCTGCAAGGCTGGGGACATCCAAAACACAGACTAACTGTTGTATTTGTCATGGATAGGTAAATTAGTATATGCCTCTGCTTAATGAGGCACTTGGTCTAGAGACTACGCTGCCTCTGTCCCCAAGGCTACATACAGAAAATAATGTATCGTACAGTATTCTCTGTTTTACTTTGTTGTTTTTTTTATCTCTGACTCTGTCCTGTTTTTTCTGCACAAATGCACAGTTTTATTTAGAAGTCAGAATCATATTTGTGACTGAATTCTTTGTAATGTTTGAAATGTCTTTGTTCATTGTTGTTGATATACAGACAGAGTGCCTTGGGTCTTGAATTGGACAACCGCCTCAGCCTTGCAGAACGTAATGCTTAGTTGCCCACTGGGGTCAGGGTTCAACTTTCAGGTCGCCAGCTAATGATGACTTGCACTAAAACCCACAACTGGGGAGGGCGTGTCTGATGACACCTGTCGACCAACTTTAGTTACTGTAAATAGAGTAGCCTAATTTACAATGAAGCTTCGTACTGCATTATTTATATGTAAAGGAAGGAATAAAATATGAGATTGCACTGATGACTCCCATTAAAATAATGATGTCCTCTGTGTGTGCATGGGTGCCTTTGTCTGTGTGTCTGTGTGCGTGTGCCTGCGTCCATGTGTGCGTGCGTGTATTTTGTCTGGGAGTCTGTCTCGCTGGTTGTTAGTTGTTAGGTCAGTTCTGTGTCGGAGGCTGTGCAGTGAGTAGCACGCAGCAGAAGGAGTGATCACACTGACCTCTCCCCAGCTCTGCTGACAGGCTCCTCTGCTATGCAGCCCTGTCACTCAATCCTCTGCACCAACAATGGCACAAATTCCTCTGTGTTTGTTTGGTTAAGGACAGGGCTCTCACAAACCCAGAAACTCCTTAGGATCCCCAAGCAGCTTCACCCCTGAATAGTGTCAATCTGGAATCTGCCCTCAGACTACTAGCGATTAAAGTGAATTGAGTAGCTCAAGAATAGGGACATTGAATCCATTTTGCAACAGCAAAAGGGTTTGTGTTTTTATTTCCCTCCAACAAATGGAGCAACCAGAATAAATCTAACTTGGAAACGCACTTAACAGAACATGTCAAAATGTCAAGGTGTGCTCAGTGATATTTTGTGTCTTAATCCAGTCCATTGAAAGTTGACAGTCTTGACTGTGAGTCGACATTCACTTGGCCATTGTGACTTTAGTCCCTGATCCCTTACAGCCAGCACAGGGAGACCAGACACCCACACACACACACACACGAAGGGTACACAGCCCCACGGCCGGGGCCAAAGCCTTACAAGGTGGAGGAGGGAGACAGATATCTGCCTTGTGTAAACATTCGCGCAAAAATTACGCTGGAAACAGAAAAGGCTAAACCAGGCAAGGATTATCCCTCAGAAAT